CACAAGTCATTCGAGCATGAAGTGCGTTAAGTAAACGGAGAAGAAGAAGGGGCCCCTCTCCTGAACTGTCGACCGAATCACACTTTCCCACACTTTCACACTTTTATTCGACCGTCATCAAGCAACTAACCACCAACATCAGGTTCTACTTCTAATAGCGCAGATATCCGCCTCGATGCAATCCAAGTAAAGACAGCAAATTTTAAAGCCATTCGATGTTGGACCTCTTTAAAGACAAAAGTGTTTTAAACTCCGCATATCAGAATGTGATCCCTAGATGTGACATCGAGTCCAACGAGGGCCTTTCAAAAGATCTGTTGAAAGGAGGAATGCAAATTATTCCAACTGGGAAGAGATTTCCTACCGTAATCTCTGTCCCAGAAGCCAATCCAGTAGATGCCCGAAGTGGTGAGAATGGTGTTGGCGGCGAGATTGAAAAAGAACCAAAGGACCTTATTTCCGATCATGTCATCCTCGCTTCTACGATCTACAAATAATGACAAATGACAATTTTGTAATAAATTGATTCTAATGACAGTAGCAACATCATTGTTGGTCATTTAAATGGAGAATGTTGGTTTGGAAGCGTTTTGCATTCTCGTCCTCAATTCCCCCTTGCTCTCTCTCTCTCGTGTGACCCAAAAAATGCGTTCATCAGGTCATTACAAAAACGAAGGCCTTTTACTCTGCATCCCAAATGAAATTTCCTCTTTCTTTCAAAAAGTGGTGGAAATTGAGGGTGTATGAGAGCAACGTTGGGTTTAAGAGGCAGATTACTGATAAAAATTTCGCTCTTCAATCCCTCTACATCCACCCTGAGATCATTACAAGTCGATCAAGTTGTAGTCATGTCGCAAGACACAAACTGTTATTGCCGTCCAAATGTCAAGGTTCTGCCAATCTAAAAAACATCCTCTATATCTACCTCCAGCCTTTAAACTTATTTCTATCCTCTGACCCTAGCAAATACTCAACTCCTATCTCGGATAATAATTGATGCGACTAGCCAACACACCTCCAACCAAAAACACCCATGCAGTCGTGATTAAGCCCCCTTCGACTGGGTCTTTGCCATAAAACTTACCCTGATTCAGTCTGTAGTAGATGCAGAAGGCGGCAAATGCGATGGCGGTGAAGGTATAGAGGACAAAGGCCCATTCCGTGGCGTAGGCGAAATACAGAAGTACCGGCTTATCCGGACCCAGTTGACGCAACTCAAAGGGAATCTCACAGGCGAGCCAAGTGAGGAGAACTGTCGCCACAACGAAGCGAAAGGCGACATAGAATCCACCATCCATCCATGTCCACTAGGAGGAAAAAGGGGTTTCAAGATGTTTAAGAGAGAGGTAGGCTAAGAGTGCCCTGTTATGCATAAAGCCCTGGGAGGGAGGGTAGAAATCATCACAGCTGATGCCAATTACCTAATTCACTCAATCCTCCCTCCACCCACTACCTCAAGATAGCATCAAGAAAGCATCATTTTGTTCAAATGGCCATCGTGGACCTTTTAAACTTATCCACCTACAAGTAGGTGAGAAAATCCAGCTGTGCCAGTTGTATGCTAAACTCTAGTGGGAATCACTCTCCCGGTCTTACTGGAGCATCGACCACTTCGAAAAGGCACGAGAAACGAGTTCACTTTATTAAGAAAATTTCCATGTCGGTGGAGGCTGAAGTTTCTACTTTTGATTGGAAAAGAAAGTGGACTTTGAGGCGCTACAGGAAAAAAATGACATGCTCACAAAAAAGGGTAGGGTGAAAATTCCAACTGAAATCAATTCGCTAATTCATTAATCATACTCACTCTTCCTAAAATCTTTCCCAATGATAGTTAAAATTGGAATTATCTAATACACCTTTCAGTCAAAGTCAGCTCTTGAATTAGATTATGGAGAGGAAAAGATAGACGCACCAACATCTGAATCATTTTGCACAATTTCCATTTCCAGCTCATTATTCAATCGAGAAAAAAAACCGTAAAGAGACATCATTCATAAAATTTTTATCTCAATTTTCTCCTCTATTCCAATTCGCTTCACATAATCCAAGATGATGTATTGAAGAAGTAAATTTGCATGGAACTAGGTTATCAAACAAAAAATTTTATCCATTCGAACGCAGGACAAGAAGCATATTTCGTTAACTGAAATATTGTTGTAAATGCATTTTTCGGGATGATTCTTTCAATTCTTTGGGCCTACTTTAAAATAGCCTTCCGATTATGCTAGAGTATAAATATCAGACACAAAAATAGTGAATCAAAAATTCGTTTGAATACTTAATGCTTTCTTAAAATATATATATATTTAATCACTAACCTGAGGATGAGAAAATTCATACGGATCTGGAGCTTCAAATCCAAAAGCCTTGAAGTTGAATTCTCTCTTGATGGACCTTCCAAATAAAGTGCAGCAGGCGTTATTCCGTGCCATTCCCCCCTCTCTCTCTCTTTAATTCAAACTTAATTTTATTTTACGTAAAATCAAGATATTCGTATAATCGTGTGGCCAACTTACCCTTGTGAAGGATCACAGTTTGCTGACTGCTCGCTACATTTTAGCAGAAGTATCCAATCAGCGCGTTGAGTCATTTGTCCAATGGGGTGGCTTGAGCACTTGGGCGCACGAAGGGAGAAGGAAGGCAAACATTAGTAATGAAGCAACTGCTTGGTCAAGGTCAATGCTAACAGCCCTTTGCAGAAGGAGGCCAATCAATAGACCGGCTTTTGGGTTTATTTACGCGCATTCTATTAAAGACTGATTTTTTTCCCATATGCTTCTTGGGAATTTGTCATTTGCACATATTTCCCATGAGTTTACTCTAATTTCAATTTAGCATTTATCTAGAATACCTCACGAATTAAAACAGGCTTCCTTTTACACTTGATTAATAAAGCTAGCCACGAGATAAACTTCGTATTTTAGCACGTAATTACTTTTATCTTTCAATAAACGATTCTTGCTCTCTAGGCGACGAATGTTGTGTTTTTATGCTCATTAGGTTTTGCTGCTATGATAAATCTGGCAGATTTGATGCCCCAACAACTAATTCACTTCCTCGAGGGAAAGGATAGGCAGAATTGGTTGATGTTATTGCGTGAATAAATGAAGTGACAATATCAAGATGAGAAAGTGAATCAGTGCAAATTGGATAAAAAATTCGGGTACTTTTAATTTATGCGGAAAACAAAGCTATTTGTTTAAGCCAAAACGCATTCCTGTATGGATGGGAAATTACTCTATGGGAATTTCAAAATTCAAATGCTGCCTCTCCTGTTGCGAATATCTATTCAAGTTTATTTAGCCATTTTAATATATTTAGATATTACGTTTTGGCGTAGGAGACATAAGTGAACTGGCCACCCAAACCTTGAAACATATAGAATTCTGATTCCCTTTATTCTTTCAGCAAAATCAAAATACTTACCTTTGCAATCTAATTGTCAACTAATAGCAACAAATAATTATGTTCAAGAGCATAAACACTAGAGAAACAAGGTGGACTAAAAAACGATCTATTTATTCGAACATTTATTTATTTATATCAAATGGCAGGCGTCTTGGTGGTTATCATTAGCCCTTTAGTTGACTTCAGGCTTCACAGAGGGGAAGGAATATCAAAGCGAAAAAAGTCGACAGGGGGGGAGGGAAGAGAAGAGTGTTTCAAAGATGCAAAAGAAACAGGCACAAAGGTAGAAAAAAGGTGAGATGATTACTGTGGAAGTAGTGGAATATGACATGAAGTGGGGTGATAGTAGTTTGAAGTGAGAAGTCAACTGCCAGTTAATAGACTTTTTTGCCGAATGAGTATGCGTTGCCCAGGGTGCACCACGTGGAGGTAAATCTATTACGCACCCCTTATTCAAACATTATAATGTTTATTTTTACTAGAGTAAATGCAACTTAAAAATAGAGCTTCGGCTAAAATAATAGACCATAATATATCATTTTTACTATCTGAAACGATGAGTCAAGCCTCTGTTGGGAAAAACCTCTCAATATCATCAATTCTACTGACTTCTGTAAANATACGGCACATTTGAGTCTGTCTGGGTGCCTGAAGTGAAATGAAAAAATGCAGTAATCCATTCGGACTCACAGTCAGCAATAAACTCAATTGAAAACAGAGAGCCACCCAAACGGCTGAGATATGCGAATGTAAAAAAACTCTATCAGCTGCTGAGAGAAAAAAGCAAAACAGTAGGTCTATAATGGATTCCTGGTCACTGTGGCATTAAAGGCAATGAGCTTGCTGACACACTTGCTAAGAAGGGGACAACAATTTGCTAGGCATAGACCAGCTGATGTCTTTCCACACAATGAAGACCTTAATCAGGATAGAAATCCAGACCTCAAGATGCAATGAGCTTAAAGCTTAAACAAAGGAGAAACAATGAATGGTGGCATGACATGGCATGGTGGTGAATGACATGGCCGACTGGCCAAGAATCGAAGCCGTTGCTGAATTTACACTAAGTACCGGACACGATCGCCTGGCAAAACGTCTTCACAGATTAGGAGTATATACTCAACCCACATGCTCCCTGTGTAACCTACAGGAGGAAATGGAGAAGACCCACCTTATTCGGTGTCCAGCTCTAAATATAGTCTGGGCAACGTGTACTCATACGGCAAAAAAGTCTATAAACTGGCAGTTGATTTCTGACTTCAAATTACCATCACCCCACTGTATGTCATGTTCGGCTACTTTCACAGTACTCACCTCACCTTTTTTTACCATTTCTACCTTAGTCTTTGAAACACTTTTATTTTCCCCTCCCCTCTCGAATCTTTTTCACTTTGATGTTCCTTCCCCTCGGTGAAGCCTGAAGTCAACTAAAAGGCTAATGATAACCATCAAAACACCTGCCATTCGATATAAGTAAATGTCAATGGAAAACCAGAATTTCAACTTCTTTCCCTTACTGCAAGTGCAATATTTAATAGTAAGTATATATGAACGAAATTCCTATTTACTCTTACATTTAATCCACAGCTCTGATGATGCCCGACCCTCTTAAGGGTTTGAGAAATATTGTAGAGGCCAACTTGTTTGGAAGTACAACACTTCCGAACACCGATTGAAATTGTCATGATAGCTGCATAGAACCAAGATGTTGATACTCCAAACCATTTGCTTGAAGATGGCTATTCAAAATCAAATCTTTGCCCTTGCTTTGAAAACGCAATAGCATTGGTTGCCTTAACGACAAGTTTGTCTAAAATTAATTATTAGTATATCATTTTACTGGAAATATAAGAAGCTTCTTTACATCTTCCTAAACATACCCTCGATCTTCCCATTACGAAATCAACATCGTGGTTGCTGAATAACGACCTGTTGATCAAGCTTTGAATGGGGAGGGGGGCTAACGAATCTCTGGAGGGTCGTAACCAATTTGGTTTAATTTCATTAACGCACACCGCAACCTCCAGTCTTCCGTATAATTGTATTATATTAATTGCAATTGGAAGGATAGTGTAATATTGAGGATTATTTGTCGACCAAATCGTTCTCATGTATTACTGTAGTTATTTAGATATGAAATGCAATATTGAACTTGGAAATCGACCAAGTTAGTTAGATTCACATTTTCTTAACATTTGTTTTGCCTTGTCATTTTTGTTGTTTTAAAAAAACGCGATTTGTTCTGATTTACTTATTAATGAGCCTTGCACTCCACTTAGGTGTGAATTGACTTAGTTCTCTGAATGAAACTTTATTGTGGAAATAAAATACTGGTTCCTCGAATGCTCAACCTTCCGGAAATTTCCTCTCATCCATTTTATGCTTTATGCCCCCCTCCCTCCCCCCCCCCACCCCCCAACTAGACACTGAATATTGCGAATGAATTATTTACAACTTAACCTCTCTGTGTGAACCTTAGAACCAGATTCACTGGGACTGCGCGCAATTGATTGGGCAATTAGTAAAATACAGGAATGCAGGTCGGATTTGTATTGGTTAGTAATTGGCCAGCTTTATGATAGGCTAATCGAGTTTCATGCGAATATAGAATAAAATAAATCATAGTATTGTCTATGATATTAAGCTCAGGCCGTGATAACCAATAGGATACAGCGGCCTTTAAGGAGAACAACAGGAGAACGAGTTGAGTTGGACCAGGTTACATTGGTCGAACTTGATAACTGAGAGCAAGTTGGAGTAATTAACAGATGGAGAAGCACAAGGGGACATTGAGAATTTAATATAAATAAACAAATCTTATAGTCGGTTCAGTAAAATGCGATTTACTAATTTAGCTGTAATATTTCCTTCCCTCTTTTTCAAAGGAAATCGATTAAATCGTCTGACTGATCGAGAAATGTTTTGTTATTAGTCAAGTCGATGGGACTCTTCATAACTCAAACAATTATTATTATATCAAATGGCAGGCGTTTTGATGGCTATCATTAGCCCTTTAGTTGACTTCTGGCTTCACAGAGGGAGAGGAACATCAAAGTGGAAAAAAGTCGAGAGGGTGGGGGGNACCCCTTATTCAAACATTATAATGTTTATTTTTACTAGAGTAAATGCAACTTAAAAATAGAGCTTCGGCTAAAATAATAGACCATAATATATCATTTTTACTATCTGAAACGATGAGTCAAGCCTCNGCTTCAAAGATGTAAAAGAGACAGACACAAAGGTAGAATAAAGGTGAGGTGAGTATTGTGGAAGGAGTCGAATATGACATACAGTGAGGTGATGATAGTTTGAAGTGAGAAGTCAACTGCCAGTTAATAGAATTTTTTGCCGTATGAGTATACGTTGCCCAGGGTGCACCACGTGGAGGTAAGTCTATCACGCACCCCATAACCCAAACAATGCAAATTAAAATAAGTTGTCAGTTATAAAATAAAAATGTACTTAAAAATGCATTTTAGGAGAGGATTCAAAATCGGAAACTAATAAAATTCGGTTTCGCTGTTTTTCCCACTTAGCCAATCAAGATAAATGGAGGCCAAAAACATCAGTTAATTGAAAGACTCAAAGATTTAGAAACCTTATTAAGAAATTTTTAAATGAAATGGGAGTCATTTAAAAGGAAAGGATTCGTTTTTGCTGATAGCAAGACGCCTACAACCTGAAATTGCAACAACTGCACATCAAATATTTATTTCATTCACAAAATAGCATGGATAATTTACATATAAAAGATAACTGACATTGACTTGAAAGCTCCTATATTACTCTAGCTTACATTTAAATATTCTCAATGCTATGGGATTGTGCATATTCATCTCACAAATTTGTTTTTTTTTTTATTTTACGTGTTCTGATTTATCAGTGGTGCTTACTGCAGAAAAATTGTATGAATGTAATTATTTAACATTTCATAGGCGAGGAAATCAGAGTTGTCATGTGAAGGAATGCGAAGGTGCGATCAATAACTAATTACTTTTAATACCCTTTGGTAAAGTCTTAACTAAGACCCCACTATTCTCAAGCGAAACATGTGGTTCTCATATGGGCTCTCAGGTTATCACCGAAAAATAAATAAGTTGTAGTTAATTTTTAATTGGTAATTTAAAGAGAAAGTACTGAGTGAATGGAACTCGAATTGTGGAAATCATAGAAAGTGGGTCACGTGAATGGGGTTATCGAGATCTGGTTCCTGTGGGAGACGCTGTTTACTAAATTGAATGAGCGGAACGTTAAAAGTAATATGCATCTGGTATTTAAGCTGGTTGAGGATATTTGATGCAGATTTTATTTTTAAATAACTCATACTGCAAAAAAAGTCTATTAATCGGCAGTTGACTTCTGACTTCGAACTACCACAATCCCACTGTATATCATAATCGACCACTTCTACAGTACGCATCTCACCCTTTCTCGGCATTTGTGTCAATCTCTCTCTTTACATCTGTGAATCACTCTTCCGTTCCCCCTCTTGACTTTTTGTTTCTTTGATGTTCCTCCCCCTCTCTGTGAAGTGTAGCGGACTGCTACCTTAGTAAAGCCTGACTGGCTCAGAAATCTCTGTGGCAGATTCTCCTACATCTAGCTAGACTGCCAGAACCAGCTAAGCTATACCCCAGCTATGAAGGAAACAGACGTGTAGCACGGAATGCGTTTATTCAGTACGGATATTGCGGATAAAGTGTACACAGGGAGCTTGATCATGATCAGGATGGCTGATTAGGTTAAACAAACGGAGGCTACGGATTGGTCACTCTTTGTACGGTCGCTGTCACAGAGTTGTACGGCTGCACCTCCCAATCCTGGGGTGCAGACATGCGGTGACGCACAAAGCGATAACGCGTTACCACAGAAGCCAGAATTCAACTANAAACAGGCACAAAGGTAGAAAAAAGGTGAGATGATTACTGTGGAAGTAGTGGAATATGACATGAAGTGGGGTGATAGTAGTTTGAAGTGAGAAGTCAACTGCCAGTTAATAGACTTTTTTGCCGAATGAGTATGCGTTGCCCAGGGTGCACCACGTGGAGGTAAATCTATTACGCACCCCTTATTCAAACATTATAATGTTTATTTTTACTAGAGTAAATGCAACTTAAAAATAGAGCTTCGGCTAAAATAATAGACCATAATATATCATTTTTACTATCTGAAACGATGAGTCAAGCCTCTGTTGGGAAAAACCTCTCAATATCATCAATTCTACTGACTTCTGTAAATTGAACGAATCCTCGAGCTGCTCCGATGGCAAGCCTACATTCTACCTACTTCCTGGTCAAAGGTAACTACTTTACGTTAACTCCCATATTATAAAATGTTAACTACTACTTTTTAAGTGGAATGACAGTTAAAAGCTCAGCATAGAGTTTAAAAATGTTTTTTAAAGACCTTATGAAGATATAAATAATCTTTCTGTCTTTGACATAATATAGGAAATAAGAGTTTAGATATACAATAGTTATAAAACTTTTCAGTTTTCGCAAACTTACCTTAAAAACCCTGGGCTATTTCAAAACTCATAAATCTCAGCTGATGAAATTTAATGGATATATTTTTTTCTTAATCTTATTTGAAAAAAGTTGTTTTAAAATAATGTGATATAGGGGAATCGATATGGGTTTTGGAAATTAGTCCAACCAGTGCATTTAAAATACTTCAAAATTAGCCAGGTCTTATTCAGGCCAAAATAATTAACACCTGAGAGTGCCCAGGTGTTTAGCGCTCACTTAAAGGCCTCGGTCTTCGCTTAGCAGAGCGTTATTTTCTCTTGTTATATCTTGTAAAAATTTTAGTGCCTATATTAGGAACTGTTTTTAATAATTTAATTGGGTCATTGCCTTCTGTGTTAATCAAAGTTGCTTTGCTAATTTCTACTAAAGAACCTTTGTTTTGGGCTTTGCAGGTTCTAAATCCGATTTTTTTCTATTCAAAAGGATGATGGCGTTGCGGAATTTGACGTCCATGTTCGCAGCCTGTCGAATAACCCCAATCAGCTCGGTTCTTCCATCCGTCATATCTCGCAAACTTAATCTTCCTCCAGCTATTCCCCAGCAGATCATGCATCAGCACAGATACGAACCTTACGCAACTCCGATGCATCACTGCAGCCCCGAGCATGAGCGTTTGCTTAAAGATGAGCTCATGGGCTACCCTCCCTACCAAAATCGTAAAAGTAGGTTGTATTTTTTTGCTTATCTGTTTGCTTTAGTTCGACACGGGTTTCAAGATGCCATCATGGTTCGTGATTACAAGCGTCGCATAGTTGCCTCCCACTTTGCACCACTTCGATCTAGACTCAACGCTATCAGAAAAAATAATCTACTTCCGCAGGATGTTCGGGTATGTCTTCTAAACCTAAAATTTTATATATCATTTTACCTTGCTCTACAATGCTTATAGGTTTGCGTACGTTGTTCACCGCACTGCTTCTGTTTAGCGTGATGTTAGCTTTTGGCATTACTTTCTTCCAAATTGTATTAAAAATTCAAGTTCTAAATTTAATTCCTCTGATGGTAGGCAAGTCTTGTTACTTAAAGTAGGAATTAGTCATTTTGTGACCTGGTTTCACTTTTGTGGACTTCATTTATTTTCATTCCCTTCCATCTATGGTAGTAGCACAGTATTGCAAGTTAGAATGAAGAGCATATACTGCAATTAGGTGTCCTTTCAATAACTCTGCGAAGTAACACTTCTCTATTTGGGCACCTTGTTGCCATGTTATCCGCCTCCAAACCGGAACTCGCTGCAAAACCAAACAATCAACGTAGTCGTTATGCATCTGTTGCTTAGCAGCAACTGGGGCAGAGAAATTTAATGTTAGGGTGTAGTTGTATAGCATTAAATGACTCATTGCTAAGATAGATAATCTTTTCAACTAGAACTACGCTATTGTGTTGCCATTCCACTTATTTGGAAGTACGCTTGTCGTTAGAAATTAATCTTGCCCTATTAACCCTTAAAAATACTTCCATTCGATTAGAACGTTCTCAAGTCATGAAAGCGTGTTTGAAAACTGCATATAACCTCCCTCACCTATCTATCTCTTAAATATGGTCAGCGATGCAAGGTTGCCAAGCCATGATAATCATATTTCAATCGTTTTAATTGCAGGATACGGCCTCTGTGCAGATCCATAGTCTGCCGAGAGATAGTTGTTTCACTCGCATCATGACGCGCTGTGTGATGACATCACGTCGTCGGGGTTGCAAGACACGATGGCGGGTTTCGCGCATCATCTTCCGCTCCCTTGCCGATTACAATCGCTTGTCAGGTGCTCAATGGGCCATCTGGATGTACAACACCTTTTCCACCCGTCGGCACATGCACTGGCCACCGCCCTCAACCTGCTCCCCTGCCCAGTACGTGCGTCGGTACCACAAGAACATTGCCGATTAAATAAAATTGCAGCTCACTTCATCCTTGTGGCTTCTCGTTTGTTTGGGGTGGGTGGGTGGGGGGGGGGGGGACGTAAAGCAAGCAATTGGAATGATTTGGGTCAAGAAACAAGCAAGGCTTAATGAGATCTTCCAATGTCCGATTGTGCTTGACTTTTCCACAGTACCTTTAAAGGCGTTTGTTAGCAACACATGTTTGGCTTCCTAGTATCGCAGGAAGGCTGACCTTGTGGATGAGTTGTTGCAGAGCCACTGTAGACGAATTTTCATAATGGCAACGGCCACTCCATCTGCTTTGGTTGTTCTATGACAAGTGAACACGAAGATGTTTTTTGTAGTATAAAGGAAAAAAGAGATTGAGGATTCAAAATGTGGTGAGGATATGTTCCCATCACAATGTGTACATCAATTGTAGCTTTAAAAAATCAACTTCCGGACTTATCTAGGGTCTCAAAGTGCAGACCAGCAGCAACTCAAAGGAACTGGTTCGTTTTACGGTGGCCGCGTGTTGTAGAGCTCTATAGTGATCTTGAAGCTTTTCCCAGAACTGTGAAAGGCCTGATCTTGATTCTACTCTCTCTCTCGCGGAAAACTTCTCATTTGAGATACTGATAAATGGCTTCCCAATTCTCTTACCCTTAAGTCACTTTGAGTTATCATAAACCAAGCTGAAATGTAAATAAAGCACCCACTTATTTATTTATATCAAATGGCACACATTTTGATAGTTTCATTAGCCCTTTAGTTGGCTTCAGGCCTCACAGAGGAGAAGAAATATCAAAGTGAAAAAAAGTCGAGAGGGGGAGGGGGGAACAGAAGAGTGGTTCAGAGATGTAAAAGAGGCAGACACAACGGAAGAAGAAAGGTGAGGTGAGTAATGCGAAAGTAGTCGGATATGCCATACAGGGGGGGGGGGGGTAATGGCAGTTTGAAGTCAGAAGTCAACTGCCGGTTAATAGACTTTTTTGCGTATGAGTATACGTTGCCCAGGGTGCACCACGTGGAGGTAAGTCTATCGCACACCCCATAAAGCACCCACTAAGTTATGGCAAACGGAAATTGTTGCACCAAGGTAGTTTGGGTTAGACCAAGTTGCCATGAAAAATTAGTCTAATTACCAATTTTTTGTCTCCAATAGCGTAAATTTCCCCTTCGTGGAATTCGAAGGAAACATTAAGGTATCCGCCGGCTGTGGACTGTATGTGAAACCTCGGAACAATGAGGGCACGCTCTTGTAGTATCGACTGAATCACACTTTCCCAGTAGAAGTGATCGATCAAACCCCGATTTGACACGACTGTCATTAATAAACTTGCCACTAAAGAACCTGAGTGGAACTGCAGCTAATCGCTTGGATTAGTTTGTACAATCATTACTAGCTGTGCAAATCAAGTTCCGAATTTCAGGATTTGTCTTTAGAATTACTGCAAATTTTAGTCCTCCATGAAATTGACTTATTGACCGTTTTTTAATCATCAGTTTCGGATTTGTTACTTTATTTCATTCTTTTTCTATTATTCCTCCAATTATACCTTCCCATTTCCCAATTGGCTGATTCAAGCCCAGCACATCATATTAGGCACGCTAATTCAATTTTATCTCCTACTTTTTAAACCAATAACTGATGTGATGTTTGAGTTTACGCCCCGCCTTAAGCATACCACCTGAAAATACAGTTCGCTCATTCATGTAATTTCTATTTTGCCACGCATACTTCTTATTCTCATTATAGTGCTTTGTTTGAGTACCGCGCCAATGGAGCTCTCTTTTAAGCAGCGTCGCTCAAATTGCATCATACTCCATAACATCCTGGAATGCCATACGACTGCAAAATTGCATACCACCTGTATTGAAATTTATTTATATCAAATGGCAAGCGTTTTGATAGTTATCACTCGCCCTTTAGTTGACTTCAGGCTCCACTGTATGTCATATTCGACTAATTTCACAGTACTCACCTCACTTTTTTTCTCCCATCGTGTCGGCCTCTTTTACATCTTTGAAACACTCTTCTGTGCCCCCCCCCACCCCCTCTCGACTATTTTCACCTGTAAGCTGCTTGTTCTTCTCCAGCATGAATATGGAGGGGGTGGGGGGGGGGGTGGCAGAATTGCGACTTAGTTCCAAAAATAACCTTTTGGATCATGTCAAATTGTTCTGGATATGCCTTATTGGGTAGACTTTTCTCACTTCACTTGGGGGGGAATCAAAGAGAATGCGACCAGATTATCCACATTGCAAAGCAGAAAAGAGCATATTGGAGTAGTAAGCACATCAGGGTCACCGGGTTAAAAGTTGTGACTAGCAGCTAATAGTAGATAACTACGGGCCTACACCACGCAGATCAGCACATAGTCGCAATCTCCATGCGGGAGAGTGTGTGGGGGAGAATTGAGAACATTTAATCCGAGGCATGCCAGCAGATAAATGACGTTTTCTCTCATCTTGACACTGGAGCAGGGGGTGCGTGGGGGCAGGAAGGTCGACAAGAAAATCGATGAACTTGTCTCGAAATCACAGATGGAGGTGAGACATGGGGGCTTTGTGAACTAAAATCCAAAGTGCCCTCGTGGAAAATACGATTAAAGGAATTTTTTTTTATTAATGGATAATCATCACTCAGGCCTACTTCGTGACAATTCGGTTGCCTGTTTTCCAATTTGTTGTGGCCCTTCACCTCATCTTCCCACATCGCAACTGCCGTAATCGATGCTTAAGACCCACCTTGTAATGCTGGGGCTCAGAGCCCAGAGAAAGGCACACCGCAGACATGACTAGGCAGTAGGATGTGGTTTGGTTGGATTTCAATGGCCAAATATGTTAGAATAGGGCCAGGCAATGGTGGTTAGCCTCGATATGTCATGAACTCCGTATCGCACTTCCTATGCTCAGAAAACACTGTGGTGTCTCCCTCTCGATCGCTTTCACACCTTTTCACTCGACCAAAATAAAGTACACTAGTTGGCAAAGCGACTTTCAGTCTTCTCATCTCACTTTCCTTCACACGGACTCTCGTTTCCTCCCTAATCTCACGGTCGATCCACCACTCAACCCTCCTAGTAGGGATTGTAATATGTCAAATGTTAACTCAGTAAAACAAAGTAGTTGAGAAGATTGGAGGCCAATTTAAGAGTAAAAAATATAATATTAATGAAAAGAAGGAGGCATTGCAGTAATTGTCAGGTGATTAAAGAGGAGGGGGGGGGGGGGGGGGGGAAATGAAAAA